GTCAGTGGAGGGAAGAGATCTACTGGTGATGGAGATATCAGACCAGCCGGGGGTACATGAACCAGGTTAGTACACATGTACATGTATGTACAGTATAGGACAGTCAGTGGAGGCAAGAGACCTACTGGTGATGGAGATATCAGACCAGCCGGGGGTACATGAACCGGGTTAGTACACATGTACATGTACATGTATGTACAGTATAGGACAGTCAGTGGAGGGAAGAGATCTACTGGTGATGGAGATATCAGACCAGCCGGGGGTACATGAACCAGGTTAGTACACATGTACATGTATGTACAGTATAGGACAGTCAGTGGAGGGAAGAGATCTACTGGTGATGGAGATATCAGACCAGCCGGGGGTACATGAACCAGGTTAGTGTCAGGATCAGTTGACGCTATACATGTACATTGTAGTGCTTGATTTCAGTAAAGCATTGGATACTGTGCCCCACATGCGTTTGCTGAGTATTAGCTCAAGCATTACAGCATCTCTGGTCAGCTCCCACTTTGGTTGGAAGCTTTTCTTACGATATGACTTTATTAGCAAATAGCAGACGTACAACATGAAGTGGTCCCTGAAATACCTAGTTTGCTAATTAACATGAAATGTGGAAAATTACGTTTCAACACCTATCAATAAAATTACATTGATTCACGAACGTATATTGCATTGATAAAATATTAAAATTACACAGAGAACCCAGACAGTTGTTGTTGATGGCGAAGGATCTAAATCCACCAAGGTCATAACCGGAGTGCCACAAGGAACTATTCTGGGCCCACTCCTTTTTCTTCTTTATACATTCAAATGTCACAGCACTATATATAAATAATCTAAGAATAGACAGAGTTAGGTTGGACCATGTAAAGGTACACATTATGCTTTTGCTTTTCAAATGTTACCTTGAAGGTCTTATTTACAATTTTGTATTAATTTTGTTTCCTTTGTACATCCAGGAGAAGCAGAGTTTAAGTACATTGGGAACATGCACGGTAACGAGGTTGTTGGGCGGGAGGTGCTGCTGCTGCTCATCCAGCTGCTGTGTGAGAATTATGGGAAGGACGCTGACCTGACAGCACTGGTGGACAGCACCAGGATCCACATCCTGCCCTCCATGAACCCTGATGGGTACGAGATAGCTCAGGAAGGTAGGCTGTACAAAATGTAGATACTGTAAGTCCTGAGTTTTTTACGGTACTTTTTTGTCCACAGTTTTCACAGTTTTTCTGTACCATGAACTTATCATAATCACATTATTGTCAAATCATTTTTCTCTTGCTCTTCTACCCCTCTCCCACCACCTTGAAAATTAGGCTACTCGACTGCGAAATTTTGCTTCCAAGACAAAGTGAATTACAGTAATCCAGTAATATTGTAGGAGGCTGAAATTTTACATGACATCGTAAAATATATATCTCCATAGGCCAATTTATTTAATATGAAGCTTTACCATTAACTTGTGGAAGATTGACTTAACAGGTGAATACCACCTATTCAAAGATGTCAACCCTGAGACCAGACTGTAAGGTTTGAACCACTCACACCGGGAAGGATCCCTGCTCTTTTCAATAAGTGTGGTTGGATATTTAAAGTGCCTCTTGAAAAATATAGGTGTGTCTGTCCTTAAACATGGAACCACCAGGCATTATGTCTTAACTAACATAACTTTTAGTTTTTAAAATTTCTATACGCAATGTACTTAGTCTAGTTGTCATTCCAAAAAGTCAGTCAAAAACAAGAGGCACTCAACTGCATATGCACACTAGCATACAAAACTGGATACCTTGAATTTTGCTCCGTGTAAATTGGCTTGCTTTGACGTACATCAATTCAACACAGTGTTTTAGATCCTATGTTACCTTGAGGGCTGGTGTATGATGTGAAGGTAGGTAGGACAAAGCAGGCCAATTTACATGCTCTAGGAAAATTTTGACATAGTATGCAGTTATCCTACATTAGTGTACATATACAGTTTTTGTACTCCTAAGTTTTTGCCTGCGTGTAAATTAGGTTAAAGGCCAAGATTCTTACTACATGTAGATAGTGATGGGGACGAAAAGTGATAATTGTTGATGTTGTAATGATAAACAAAACAAAAAGACTTCCAATCTTTGTTTGTCCAGGTGATGTTCGGGGTCTCACTGGACGGACCAACGCCAACGGAGTGGACCTGAACCGGAACTTCCCTGACCAGTACTTCGGTGTGGAGAACTCCCAGCCTGAGACCACGGCTGTCATGGAGTGGGCAAAAAGAGTCCACTTCGTTCTGTCTGCCAGCCTGCATGGGGGAAACCTGGTCGCTGACTATCCGTTTGACGACTCACCAAAGGGCCATGCGGTGTACAGTAAATGTCCTGATGATGCCATCTTCCAGCAGCTAGCTAAGTCATACTCCATGGTATGTATGATTTACATACTATAGTTTTCTCCAATGATTTATGATTGTTAGGTTCTTTTGTATCTTTGCCTCTTACCCAAGAAGGTTATGACAAGTTAGCTGAAAAAGCTGTCTTTCAAAAGAATGTTGAACATTCAAACAATGAGTTTCGAACTTTTAATCAAGGCACTGCATTGATAGATGGAAAAACTATATTAACAACAAAGGGACTTAAACTCTTAGGGCGAAAATATGAGCATTTTGGAGTTGATTCAGAGCCTGGAATGTTTGGGTTTTTTTTTTTTTTTTGAATCAGAAAAAAATTAAGAAAGTTGGCAAATCAGAGAACCAACAAAAATTATGACAATCCATCAATCCCTTCTTGAGTTATTGTCTTCCACAACAGAAAGGCCCGTTCAGTTCCAAATCTACATCTTATTCCCTATTCAGAAGCTATCTTCCACCAAAATAGAGAGAGAGAATGGTTTATTCAACATAAAAAAACCTTCAGTTTGCAGCACAAGTGCTGAATTGTGGTTTCGTTACACAAACAGGTAGTTTAAAACTTAGACTTCTTCGCATTATACATTACAAATAAGAATTTAAAACAAGTCATAAATCCTATAAAATCACTACCATCATGACTTATAGTTCAGCTGTAACATTACTGTCATTCAGCAGGCGGTAACAGTAAGGTAATGTACTGTAAAATATCACGTCCATGGTACATGTACAATGTATAACCAAACCACGAGATATGAAAACCAGTTCTTAAAAGTTGCTGCTTCAATAAAGTGGAAAGCACTGTATAGTAAGGTGGCCCAATATCAAACTAACTTGTTTCTTGTTAAACCTCCTTGCATTTGCTTTAACCAACCCTGTGACATACCATCTCATGAAGATCAATCTAGACCTCAAGTTCTGCTGTTCACAAACACACTCAAACACCCACCCACAAACAAATGGCACAGAAAACACAACCTTCTGTTGGTGTAGATGACACTTAAATGTAATTCTTGCAGGCACATCCCACCATGCACAATGGCCACCCCTGTGATGACATCAAACCAGACGAGTACTTTCAGGACGGCATCACTAACGGTGCAGCCTGGTACAACGTGCCTGGTAGGTACATGTATATGTCTATTGGGTAACTTCAATTTGTTTCAGCCAGCATCACAGTGTTAATGACCTTTGTTATGTAAGAAACAGGAGGAGCGAGTAGAAACAGATAAAAAAAACAGTCTAGACCCCTCAGCCGGGGCAGTTGGTAGCACCAGCTAGGTCCTATAAACCTAAATTTCTGAATTGTCAGAGAGTCTAATGTATTTTTGGCCTGAACATACATGTACCTTCTTACAATGGATGGGGATAATAGACCATCAGAAACATTGGTCTCAGTCTCTAAAAATCCTGCAGTAATTTGAGAGTAACTGGATGTACTGCTGCTGAAAATGTCCTTTAGACAAAATCTAAGGTGCACATGCCCCCAGTATTTCGAGCCCTGTAGGTATATTCCACTTAGACTAAAGGTAGACTTCTATTTGTTTCACTCAAACCACCATGTTAATGACCTTTACCAGAAGGTAGCTGAAATTCTCAACTGTCAGAGAGTTGAACATATTTTCACCTAAAAATCTATCTTACAACGGATGGAGATCGGAGACCCTCAAAATATTAGAATGGGTGATGCTAAAAATCTACAGTAACTGACTCTTAAGGCAGTAGATTTGAGAGGATACTGGCTGTATTACTGCTGAAAATGTCTTTCAGACATGTACAGCTTGCAGACTCACGTTCAACCTACATTCCATAGTACAAGGAAGGATTTAAAACTGTTACTCACAACAAAGTTCTGTAAGCGTAGGAGCTTTCAGATGGCATCCACCATCTTTCTTTAGCTTATGAGGAGGGCAGTCACTTGACCCGAGGTTGAAAGGTCAGCACAGGTCACGTGACTGGATGAGGATGTTGTATATGGGGGGTAGTTGGTGGCGGCCTTGGTCGCGGTTTAAAGAAGGGGAGAGGGCTCTGATATGCTACTTTGACCCCACGCTCAAACCATCTGCTTTTTCTGTTGAGGATGGCAATTTTCTGTTCTGGATGATGCTTAATATGTGTCCTCATGTGTTGTGCATCTTTGGATTATATCCTCATGTGTTAACCTACATTCCCCTCGCCCCCCAGGGTGACTGGTACAGATAAAGTGACTGATGTTATAAACTCCATCCTCCATTCCCCAGGTGTTATGCAGGACTGGGTCTACCTGAACACTGATGACTTTGAAGTTGCCATTGAACTTGGCTGTGTGAAGTTTCCGTATGGCAGTGACCTTCCCGAGTACTGGCAAGCAAATAAAGAGGCTCTGGTGGAGTTCATCAAACAAGTAAATGTTTCTGCCTATTTATGTTTACTGAAGGAAAACATATTGTTTTTGCTACGTTTCCTCTTCTTCTTCTGTTCCAAACAGTGACCTCTGACCTGGCCAATGACCTGATTTGTTGACGTTTTTTACCATGATGGTAACTGGTGTTGGGTTACATAATGTTGCAATTTTATAGCAGGAGGGATTTAGACTCCTGTCTGACCATAATATGAATGTGTTTGAGTAACAATTAACAGAGCAGACCATATGTGAAGGTAAACATTATGCAATTTACTTTGCAAATGTTAGTTTTCTACTAGTCCGAAATTGAATTAGCAGTCTGGTCCTTTAATAGACAGATCTCGTTCCCCCACCCTCTTCTGTCAAAATGTAAAAAATCACTGCAAAGTGAAAAAATAGACATGCAAATATTTGATGAACATGAAGCCACTCTTTGATTGGTCAAACAACTAAATTGCCATTCTCTCATTGGTTGAACTGCTAATTGTGATGGACAGTCAGTATTGATTTATTCTGGAGACTAGAAATAAAAAGCAGAGGTAAGAATTCTAGTCTAAATAAATAAAATCTACCTTTAAGCAATATCCCAATGACATGATATTTTAAATTCTTTTATTTGATGATGAAGATATAATTATAAATCAGAGAATTCTGGGAAGTATTTTGTGTTTTTTGTTGACCATATCTTCTATCTGTGGGAATGTTAGGTCCACAAGGGTGTGAAAGGGTTTGTCCTGACCACTGATGGCAGTGGGATCTCCGGTGCCTCCATCACGGTCCATGGAATCAACCACACTGTGACATCAGCAGCTGGGGGAGACTACTGGAGATTGCTGGTCCCTGGAACATACCAAATCACAGCAACAGCAGAGGGGTGAGGAAGTTTATTCTAGTTCAACATCTTATTTTCTGTTTCTTGCATAAGTGAATGCATGGGGTCATCAAATTCTTACCTGCATGGTCCAGGTTTCAGTAGAAGAAGCTATGATCTACTGGAAATTGGAGCATACCTATCATGATGATGCCAACTTCCAGCCACTTTCTACATGATTGTACACTGTATGCTTTGGTCCTGTCATAAATTAAATGTACTTCCATATTATTATGTCACGTACTATGTCACAGAGTAAGTGGGTTGGTAGGAAAAACCCGGGTCCGGGTTGGGGGGTAGGAAAAAGGCCGGTCCGACCCTGTCACGTGTAGTTGCGCCCCTGACAGAAGGTGATAGAACTGCATGTAGTCTGGCACCACCCTGAATGAAACTGAATTTCTTCATAATTATTGGCTTCTTAGCTATGAACAAAATAAGCACTAAATTTTTTTTAAAAACATTTTAAGTCATTATTTCATCCTGTGTGTCCTGACATTGTCTCCTTGCAGATATCCAAGTGTCACACAAGAAGTGACTGTAGGGGAAGGGGATGCCACACAGCTCAACTTCACACTGCAGACATGGAGTGAAGAAAATGACTACAGTCTCCCAAATGAACCAAGCTACAGCACAAACAACGATCTTGTTAAAATTGTCAAGAAATATTCAAAAGAGCATCGCGGTATCATAAAGATAGAAGAAATGTCAAACAAAAATGTTGTTGATGTCGAGATATTTGGCCAATTGGCCAGGAGAAAAAGAGATGGTGATGACATCACCAGGGTTCAACCACATGTGGCTCTGATTGGTGGACTGAATGGGGATGAGCCAATAGGAAGAGAGATCCTCACAAGGCTCATTAGGCATCTGGTGGAAGGTAAGGTTTATTGTGTAGGCTAACAGTTTAAATATTATAGTAGGTTTCTTAACAGTTAACATCATCATAGTACTACATGACTCTAATTCTGAATCAGAAGAAAGTGTTTAACTTTAAGTAGAATCTGGTACATGCACTAAATTTGCTAGGGAACTTCTAAACCCAGGGGAAAATCATGATTTTAAGGCCACACCAATTTGATGTCTTAGTCCTCAAAGTTTTTTAGAAAAAATATTAAGCGACAGGGCGAAAAAAAATAAAAATAGACTTGGGCATCCTATGATCATGGTAGCCCCAATTGCTATGAAGTCGACATACCAGGCAAACTTTTAATCAACTACAGCATTGTTACATGTAGATGAAAAAAAACTGTAACAACTCTGAACAGAAGGGACCTCCTTCAATATACATAAACCTCACATGAATGGAAAGTTAAATATTGAAGCAATGTATATTTTGATACTCTTTAGCTCAACATTGAAGGACAAATATAGATGAAAAATGTAGAAAATGGAATTAATGGTGTTACTTTACAGTTCTTCTTTTGACTTCTGGAAGTTTATTTGATTTCAAAAATGATGCATGAAAAAATGTTTCATTGTGGTTCTAATGTATGAGGGACTTGAACAAAGACCATGCAATAACATGTAACTGTCTTTTGCTCACAAGATAGCCAGATAACTTTTATAAGGATTCATTTTGATTATTCTGCACCATAATTGAAATTGATCTTACATGTTTTGCACAGGTTATGACAGAGATGAGAGGATAAGGGAGTTAGTAGACAACACCCACATCCATGTGATGCCAGCAGTGGACCTGTCATTCTTCAGCCAGGCGGTAGAGGGCGACTGTACAGGGGAACAGTACACAGGGACAAGGCTTCATGACCGCTTTACACTGGACTCACAGGCAGAGGTATTGTCATTTAGTTACTATATAGAATCTTTATTTGCATGTTCATGCCCATGGGGCTAAATGCATACATCAGAATGTGATGTAACATGTACATCGCACTGAGTAACAAGATACATAGGATACAAGGATATCAGAATAACAGAATGATGTAAAAGTCTTAACAGCTACTAGAGAATAAACTAAACTAGGCCTTCTCTCTTTTTAAAGCAACTGGAGATAAAGTCACAAAGTTTTTCTATTGTATGGTCATTACTGGTGGACATGAGATGACTGAATACCTCTTTCTTTGTTCTACCTTTATACAGTTTGTCTAAGTGGATTGTTCTAAACAGTGTGTCACGTTCAATATCAAACAATTTACAATCAAGTACACAAGTACTGTAACAGTAGTACATGGATGAAGTCTTAGTCTACTTATCTCTGGCATAGAGCTGCATGTGTATGGTTTTGGGTGTGTGTGTACATGTTTGATTGTGTTAGCCTCCGTATCAGGCTTTAGAACTGGGGGCTTGGTGGTCATCGGCTGTTTTCTGATTAAGAACGCGGGTAATTCAACCAGGCCAGCTATGCTGTCTATATGAATTCAGAAAATAGCACATAAAAGCTCCCAATGACCATGAAGATCCCCAAAACCCCCAATTTTTGGCATGCTATGGATAATAGGCTTGTCCATGGTTCTGAAAGTGGGTTTTCCTATGTATTTTAAGAAATAGGGCCTGTCCATGGTGCTGAAAGTGGGTTTTCCTATGTGTTTAAAGAAACGGGACCTGTCCATGGTGCTGAAAGTGGGTTTTCCTATGTGTTTAAAGAAATAGGGCCTGTCCATGGTGCTGAAAGTGGGTTTTCCTATGCGTTTAAAGAAATAGGGCCTGTCCATGGTGCTGAAAGTGGGTTTTCCTATGTGTTTAAAGAAACGGGACCTGTCCATGGTGCTGAAAGTGGGTTTTCCTATGTGTTTAAAGAAAAAGGGCCTGTCCATGGTGCTGAAAGTGGGTTTTCCTATGTGTTTAAAGAAATGGGATCCTTCCATGGTGCTGAAAGTGGGTTTTCCTATGTGTTTAAAGAAATGGGGCCTGTCCATGGTGCTGAAAGTGGGTTTTCCTATGTGTTTAAAGAAATTGGGCCTGTCCATGGTGCTGAAAGTGGGTTTTCCTATGTGTTTAAAGAAATGGGG